ATTTATGTGCTGACCTTAAACCCTACCCGTCACGCTAAGATGAATTTCCACTGTATTCTCTGTGCCATGCCTCTCCCTACGCTCAGCCCTGAGATGGAGCAATTACACATTCAACATTTATTTGCTGAGCATTTATTATGTGCCAACTATTGTGCTGGGGTCTAAAATTCAAAAAGGAGCAATCAAAATAAGATCGTCTCTGGAGAGAGGCAGATATGAAAATAAATAATTTAAATACACAATTGCCCTAAAAGCAAAAGTATTGGTGAGGATGTGGTAATTGGAGAGTCTCATGCATTATCAGTGGAAGGGGTAAATTGGCACAACCTTTGTGGATGGCTTGTCCCTTTGGTCTTGAATCTCCAGTCTAGGAATTTACTTTCAGGAGATTACCACCCAAAGGCACAAAGACACAGGGATCCTCATTGACCTTTTTTTTCCCATGATAGTGAAAAATTGGAAACACCCATGCCCAACCATAAGAGGCTGGTTATGAACAATATGATAGATCCATCCAGCTGATACTAAGAACCATTAAACATGATTCTGTGCAAGAATATTGAGTGAAACTTGAAAAGATATTTGCAATATATTATTATTACAAGTGAAAAACTTTTTTTTTCTTTAAGATTTTATTTATTTATTTGACAGAGAGAGACAGAGTGAGAGAGGGAACACAAGCAGGGGGAATGGGAGAGGGAGAAGCAGGCTTCCCGCCGAGCAGGGAGCCCGACGCGGGGCTCGATCCCAGGACCCTGAGATCATGACCCGAGCCGAAGGCAGCCGCTTAATGACTGAGCCACCCAGGAGCCCCACAAATGAAAAACTTTTAAAAACCAGATTGCAGGGGATGCCTGGGTGGCTCAGTCTTTGAGCGTCTGCCTTCGGCTCAGATCGTGGTCCCGGGGTCCTGGGATTGAGCCCCGCGTCGGGCTCCCTGCTCAGCGGGAAGCCTGCTTCTCCCTCTCCCACTCTCTCTGCTTGTGTTCCCTCTCTCACTGTGTCTCTCTGTGTCAAATAAATAAATAAAATCTTGGGTGCCTGAGTGGCTCAGTTGGTTAAGCGACTGCTTTCGGCTCAGGTCATGATCCTGGAGTCCCTGGATCGAGTCCCGCATCGGGCTCCCTGCTCGGCGGGGAGTCTGCTTCTCCCTCTGACCCTCCTCCTTCTCATGCTCTCTGTCTCTCATTCTCTCTGTCTCAAATAAATAAATAAAATCTTTAAAAATAATAATAAATAAATAAATAAAATCTTAAAACAAAAAACCAGATTGCAGAACATGTAAAATGTGATGTCATTCTTACATATACATATTTGTATCTGTTTAGATCAGAAAGATGTTCAGAAATAGGGCCCCCACATGTTTAAAATGTGGTGATTTCAATTACTGAATCGAGGTGATGTGTGTACGAGTGTTTACTATGCTACTCTTTCAACCTTTCTGTATGTTTGAAAAAAAAATCTTACAATATAAAGTTAAAAGAAAATGTGGTTATTTTTGAGTAGGGTAATTTGGGGAGGGTTTTTTTTTTTTTCTTCTTTGTACTTTATATATTTAATTTAATTTTCTATAATGAGCCTCTACCACTTTTTTTTTTTTTTTTTAAAGTAAGCTCCATGCCCAGCATGGAGCCCAGCGTGGGGCTTGAACCCACAACCCTGAGATCAAGACCTGAGCTGAGATCAAGGGTCAGACGCCTAACTGACTGAGCCAGGTGCCCCAACTACCACTTTTACAAAAATCATTAAGTGATTTCGAAATAAAATGCAGCTCTTGTTAGAAAAATGTTTAAATCAGTTTTGTTTTGTTTTGTTTTGTTTTAGTAAGCTCTATCCCCAACATGGAGCTTGAACTTACAACCCTGATGTCAAGAGTCGCATATTCTTCAGACTGAGCTAGCCAGGCACCCCTAAATAAGTGTAAAAAAAAAAGAATAGTTGCCCCCTTTAAAAAAGAGGGGGTACCTGGGTGGTTCAGTTGGTTAAGCATCTGCCGTCAGCTCAGGTCATGATCCCGGGGTTCTGGGATCAAGGCCCACGTCAGGCTCCCTGTTCAGTGTGGAGTCTGCTTTTCCCTCCCTCCCCCCACCCCGCTCCTGCTCTCTTGCTCTCTCTCAAATAAAATAAATAAAATCTTAAAAAAAAAAAAAAAAAGGAATAGTTGCCCTGATAGATTAAAAAAAAGGGCAGGGGGAGGCAATGCAGACACCTGGGGATAGAGAATTGGGTAAATTAATTGTGGTAGTCACACAAATACTGTGCTACTGTTTAAAAAGGTGTTACCGAAAAGATATTTGTAGTACTTTGATAAGTAAAAAAAAAAAAACCAACAGGCCATAAAACAGTTTGTACAGTATTAACCCGTTTTTGGAAAAAAAACAATGCATAATGCCCACCCCTAGAAAAAACCGGAAACATCCACGCCAAAATGTCAGCAGTGGTTTTCTTTGGGAAATGGCAGTGTGGCTGGTTTCCCCCTTCCTTTTGCTTATTTGTATGTCATAAATCAGCTTTGTCCGATAGAACGTTCTGCAGTGATGGAAATGTTCTGTATCTATTCTGTCCAGTAGGGCAGCCCCTAGCCACGTGTGGCTCCTGAGCACTTTCAGAGTGGCTAATGAGACTGAGGAGTGGAATTTTACATTTTACTGAATTGCGTTTAATATAAATGTGAATGGCCGTGTGTACCAAGTAACTACTTACTGCGCTGAGCAGTGAGGTTCTGAATTGTTTACAGAGAACACACAGTGGCTTTGCAAAGAGGGAAAAAAAGAGCTTTTCTTTCCTTTTTTCTTGTTTGTTTATTTGTTTGGCTACTGGCAGAGCTCCTTGGAGATCTTGGTAAGAGGCGCTGAGTGTCAGGGCTTTGCAAACTGTGAAGTGCTGTACTGAGGAGGTGCTGCCGTCTTTGACTCTTCGTCCTCTCATCCAGCCCCTTTTTCGCCCTTCCCTCCTGGGCTCTGAGATAGAGCCCTGGTGGGAGGCAGCATCTCTGGATGGTCTCTGGAAGTGGGGAGAGTGTCCTAGGGTCTGGCCCTGGCCACTAAGGATGCATTCATTCGCTCATTCATTCATTCAACAGCCATTGTTAGCCCTCCCCCTCCTGGCTGGGCACTGAGCTAGCAGAGGGGACAGTGGGACAATGATGTGTATATCAGCATCCCGTGGAGATGGGGTGGGACAGGCTGGGGAGTTACGGAGTGGAAAGTGCAGGGCTGGGACATGGAGGCCTGCCTAGGTTTGAGCTCCAGCGTGGCCTCCTCGGGGCCACCACTTAATCTCCCTAAACCTTCACTTTCTCTTCTATAAAAGCCAGAAAGGAGTGACACTGCCCTGAGGAAGCACAGGGGTGGCCAGAGCTGGGAAAGTGCACTACAAAGGCTTGCAGAGATGTTCGTGGGGGAATAACCGGGTAGCGAGAGTCAGTCCAATGCCTACCATAGATATTATTATTCATATTAACCCAATGCATTATGGATTCTTTAAGCATAGTTAAGATATCAACCTTAGGGAGGAAGCCTGGGTGGCTCAGTCGTTGAGCGTCTGTCTGCCTTCGGCTCAGATCATGATCCCGGACTCCTGGGATCAAGCCCCATATCGGGCTCCCCGCTCCGCGGGAAGCCTGCTTCTCCCTCTCCCACTCCCCCTGCTTGTGTTCCCTCTCTCGCTGTGTCTCTCTCTGTCAAATAAATAAATAAAATCTTAAAAAAAAAAAAAAAGATCACCTTAGGGGACGCCCGGGGTGGCTCAGTCAGTGAAGCATCTGCCTTCGGCTCAGGTCATGATCCCAGGGTCCTGAGATGGAGCCCTGCATGGGGCTCCCTGCTCCGCGGGGAGCCTGCTTCTCCCTCTCCCTCTGCCTGCCACTCCCCCTGCTCACACGCTCGCGCACTCTCTCTCTTTCTGACAAAGAAATAAAATCTTAAAAAAAAAAAAGATACCAACCTTAGGAAGACCAAAAGAAGGTGTAGTCATCCACCCGCGAGATGGTTCCCCTGTGATGTTCCAGGCCAAGGGGGAGTAGGGTTCTGTCTGGAAATACGGACCCGGATTACAGTCCTCCCCTTGGGATCCTGGCAAGGGAACAGAGGGGACACATAAGGAAACAGGCAAGCTCCATGCCAATGTCCCATTGGTATACGCCTGGCCACTGGGGACACAGTGGAACAAGAGAGCCTCTGCTCTCAAGAAGCTTCCAAAGAAAGCGGGGAGGCAGATGTTCATCAAATAGCCACTCGAATATATAATTGCAAAGTGAGATAAGGGTTAAGAAGAGGAAGCCGAGTGCTGTGAAGACATGTCATGGGAGATCTTGATTTAATGGGAGTAGGAGAGTCAGAGATGATGTCTCTGAGGAGAGCAGGATCTGAAGGGGCTTAATAAGGGGTGATGGGCCTGGGGGAAGGGAGGGAGACAAGTGCTCCTGAGGCCACTGTGGCTGGAACCAGTAGGCAGAAGGGATGGGGTCTGTTACATGGCTGGGGAAGGGGCAGAGCCCGCTGGGTCGGCGGGACCATGCTCGGGAGCCCATGAACCGTGGCAGGGGAGGGCCGATGAGAACAGTTGTTCATTCTGGGATGAATGCTGATGGGGCAGGATGGAAGCAGGGTGGACACAATGTGGCTGATGTAAAGGGGTGGCCGCGGGATGCAGAGATGGGGAGAGATTTGGGAGCTGTTTGGAGACTTGGCATTGGATTCGCCCTGGGGGAGGTGGCAGGAGGGGTCTTAGTGTGATGAGCTCTGTGAAGAAGGAAGGTCTGATTCAAGCTGACTTGAGGGGCTTCGGCGCAGGCCTCCCAGATGGAGCCCATCTCCGCGGGGCTGTGGAAGGGGTTGCAGCGCCCCCCAGTGGAGACAAAGGGGAGAGAGTCTCCGCGGTCGGTCTCCACAAAGACAGTCCTCCGTGTGCTTGCGGAGCTCGGAGCTCGCAGAGAAATGAAACTAAGGTTTGTTGAGTCCTGGCCGTGTGCCAGGCCCTGTTCCAAGTGCTTTACCTTCATCGCCGGATTTAGTCCCCACAACAATCCTCGGACATCGGTGCTATTACAACCCCCATTTTACAGAGGAGGAAACTGAGGGTCAAAGAGGCATTGAGGCTGGGATGTGAACTCCAGCCCAGTCCCACCTTTTCGCTGTGCAGTCATACTGCTCTTGTGGTTTGTGGTGACTAGAGCCCGGAAGAGTTGGAGAAGGGGAAAGGGGTGAGGCGGAGGCTGGAGAGATGGACTCCCCAAACACTGACGGGCTGCACGTGTCAGGTTAGGGGTTCTGGACTTGGCTGTGGCAGAATGGGTGGGTAGCACCTTCTTAGGGTGGAGGTGGTGAGGTCAGATGTGCTTTTTTGGAGAAGTCACTCTGGGACCAGAGAGGGGGATCAGAGGGGGAGAGACTGAGGAAGGGCATGGGGGTGTCCAGGGAAGAGGCCACCTCAACAGTGGGGGGCAGGCTGTGAGGCGGGAGCAGCAGGGCTCCCGGCGGCAGGGGTGGATTCCAGACAGACGGTTCCAAGATAGAGTCAACAGGGTGGTTGGCCGGCGGGAGTGAGGGGTGAGGATTCAAACTTGGGTCACAGGAAGATGCTGTTTATTTTATTCATGCATAGAGCAAACTTTTACCGAGCACCTACTAAGTGCCAGGTGCCGAGCAAAGTGCTGAGAACACAGAGAAAAAAGATGGAATTGGTAGGAAGCCAAGAAGGGAAATGGGAAATGCAGGAAGAGAAGAAGGAAGGGGGGAGATGGTGATGAGTTTGGTTGGGAATGTATTGAGTTGGAGGGGTGGGGACAGTTATGTGGCAATATCCAAGGGGCATTGGATAAGGGATCTGGGACTCAGCAGAGAGGCACATTTGAGATGCAGGATTTAGAAAATCAAGTCTTGAGCACAAACTTGGTAAATTTACTGAACATTATTGAACTGTACACTTAAAATGAGTTAATTTTTGTGACATGAATTATATCCCAATAAAGTTCAAACATGCAACTAGGAAAAAAACCCCAACAAGTCTCAAAAAGTCATGAAAACAGGGAAGGGGCGAACATTCCAGGGGGAAGGCAGAGGGCAGGAGTGAAGGGGGGAGGGCAGGAGGGGGCTGGGGTTATAACACGGTGTGGCTGAATTTGGGCAGCTCTGAAGGATGGGCCTGGCTCGCAGGCTATTGAGCATTGGCCCCCTGCAGGTGCTGCGGGAGGCTTTGCTTCCTAGACTGAATCAATCCTCCTGACAACCCCAGAAACGGGATGCCATCCTCATTTTACAGTTGGGGAAACTAAGGTTCAGAGAGGTTAAGAAAGTTACCCAAAGTCACATTGCCTTTATTAAAGGAGTAGAATCAGTTCAGTCCAGGTCTGTTGGTTCCAGAGTTTGGGCTTTTTTTTTTTTTTTTTAAAGATTTTATTTATTTATTTGACAGAGAGACACAGCGAGAGAGGGAACACAAGCAGGGGGAGTGGGAGAGGTTCTCGATCCCAGGACCCTGGGATCATGACGAGCTGAAGGCAGTCGCTTAACCAACTGAGCCACCCAGGCGCCCCAGAGTTTGGGCTTTTAATTAACACTCTGATGTGCCCGGCTAGCTCAGTCGGTAGAGCATGAGACTCTTAATTAACACTCTGGACCAAGTTTTGCCACATATAACAAATGCCCCATCTGAGAAGAGGCAGGCAATGGGCCTGGAACCTGGGAGCCCACTGCCCGGAGACCTGGGGCGGAGACACGGCGCCACAATGGCGCCATCTGCTGGCCCAGATGTGGAGCTTAGCCGGCGATGGGCAGGTGTTCATTCCCCAGCTTGGCACAGTTCTGTTTTTCTGCCCTCTCCTCAACATTGCTTCCTCCCACCAGGCCTGAGAGCTAGTAGACAGGGATTATTGTGTGGCCTCAATTTACCAATGAGGAGACCAAGGCTTAGAGAGGAGAAGATGACTAGAGAAGTAGAGGAGGACCCAGGATTCGAGTCCATGTCCATGAGAGGCTCTCCACATCCTGTCTGTCCCCAGTGTGGGTTTGATCCCCACAGTATCCCCAAGGGCATCCAGGGGCATCTAGGTCAAGTCCCTCCCTTTCTGCTTTACTGATGCGAAAACAGCTTCAGGCAGTGGCCTGACCTACCAAGGGGTGTCTTTGTGTTGGGGTTTGGCTTGCAGAGGTTACTTCAGGATTGACAGGGAGCATGCTGGGTTCTCAGGTTCTCTCTCCACTAGGGAACCTACGCTGGGCAGCATTGCTCTTTGGAGAAATGACTGCCCTTTCTCCTTCCATAACCCCTCAGGTATTGTGAGTCTCAGGTTCAGGAAGGAGGGAGGGGAGGAAAAAAAAAAAAAGGAGGCCCAGGTAGAAGAGAGGACAATGAGCTGGGAGAGGGAGAGGCAGGACCCCTAAGGAAGGGAGAGGGTGGGGCCAGAGCAAGGCCAAGACGGATGATAAGGACAGCCAGGATCCTAAGCTGAGCCACCACTACTGAGGGACAGGCACTGAGGCAGGTACTTTACAGGGATATGACCCTTAACCCTCTCAATGACCCCAACAGACAAGAAGGATTATTACCCTCATTTACAGTTGAGGAGCAATATGAGGGAGTTTGAATAATGTGCTCAAGGTCACATGCAAGTAGATATGAAGCTGGCATCTAAACCCAGGAAGCAAGACTCCCAGGAGAGAGGGAATGATGGAAAGCAGAGAGAAAGGGGCAACAAGTTATTGGAACAGAGATCAGGCTGGGTGTGGGGCGGAAGCAAAGGGGTCCTGCTGCTGGGGGGGTCTTGTCATGGAGTGTATGAATATATATGCGTCACAGGGAAGGTGCCTGAGAGTCTCTTGTCATGTCTTGGTAACAGCCATGGCCTGAGTTGTTGGGCTGTGGCTGAGCAAGCCAGGGTTGGTGAGTGGCCTTTCTTGTCCCCCACATTTCTGGTTTGACTCCTAGTCATCCTTCCCGACTCAGCTGAGAAGTCACCTCCCCTGGGAAGCTGACCCTGCAGAGGCTGGTTAAGGCCTGCCTCTCCGTGCCCCAGCTGCTCTGGCTCAGCCAGGAATCAGGTAAGTCTGGTTCTCTGACCCGTTCTCCTGGTTGTCCCGGGAGGTGGGCACTGAGACCAGACCCAGGGGACAGGAAGAAAGGAGGACAAGGCTGAAGAAGACAGTCAGCATGTCCCCCACCTTCCCAACCACTGTCCCAGCTGGCTGGGCTCCTCTTTTCCCACCCCCTCCTTCTCTAGGAACTAAGGGGGCTAAGTAAACCATCATGGGACAGCCAGGCCAGACCACCCCACCAGGCACCTGGTTAAGGACTGCCACTGGACACCCCCCTCAACACTGTCACCCTCAGCATCCCTGGGAACAGGGGTAACAGAAATAGGAAACTCCCCCGCAGCCCCTCTACCCCCCAACTGCAGGCCTCATCCAGAGACAGGGCTTGGAAATAGTGACATGGGGGGAGAGGGCGCGGGAGAGCCTTGGACGGACTCTGCTACCTACCTGGCAGAGGCATGCGAGCCTCAGCCTCCTCATACGGAAACGGGATGATACTAGTATGTAGAGTTTGCCGTGAAGATTACATAAAGTTCTGGAACACAGTTGGGTGTCCAGTAAATGGTAGATGCCCCCACTACCGATACTAAATAGTGAAGAGTCCTCCTTCATATTTCATCCCTCACTAACGTTAATATCTCACATTTACTGAGCACTTACTATATGCCAGATACCATTCTTAGCCCTTTACCTGCACCAAGCCATTTAATCCCTACTACACTGTTGTGCCTGTTTGAGAACAAAGACGGGGGTCTCAGGCATGGCGGGGTGCACAGCTGGTAAGGGGTGGAGCTGCGGTTTGAACCAGACGGTCTGGCTCCAGAATGGGTGTCCCTAGCCACTGTCGGGCTGTCAGCAGTTTTCATGTGACTCGGTCATCGGGAATGATCATCCCTTTTACCTCGCTGCTGTTTGTCCAGTTCAGCATTTTCTGATCACTCATTGGTGCCAGGCCCTGTGCTGGGATAGAAAAGGAGGCAACAGAGAGCTCCCTGTCTGGTTCTGGTGGGAGATAGACACTTTAAGAAAACCCACACTAGCAAGTGATCGGTTCCATGGCAGGGCCTCTACAAGGCACAGAGGAGGGAGAAAGAAACCTCAGAACAGGTGACCAAAAGCAGAACGATCGGCTGAAAGAGAATGAGTGTTTGCAAGCTGAGCAGGGTCTTGAAGGATGAATAGGAGTTTGATAGGCGAAGAGGGAGGAAGAACATTCCAGAGAGAAGGAACAGCAGGTGCAAAAGCGAGGGGGCGTGAAACACCACAGCAAGTTCAGGGAAACAATCATTTGGTAAAACTGGAGGATAAAGAGGAGGAGGTGGTGTGGATGTTTCCAGGTATCAGGGTATTTTTTCACTGTGTAGTTAACAGTGACACTACAGAGCAATGGGGTTTTTTTTTTTGTTTTTGTTATTGTTTCTCCGACTGTGACTTTTATTTCCTTTTTTGCACATTTCTGTATTTCCCAAATTCTTGTCTTCTTTAATCATAAAAATGTATGTGAATATGATTTTTACTTTTTTAAATTATGTTTTTGTTGACGTATAGTCGACACACAACGTTACATTAGTTTCAAGTGTACAACACAGTGATTCCATAGTCTATACCTCAGGCTGTGCTCACCACCAATGTAGCTACCATCCGTCACCATAACAACTTTATTACAGTACCATTGACTGTATTCCCTATGTTGTACCTCTCATCCCCGTGACTTACTCATTCCACAGGGCAGTGTTTTAAAAGCTGGCTGTGAGGGGGCGCCTGGGTGGCTCAGTCGGTTGAGCGTCTGCCTTCGGCTCAGGTCATGATCCCAGCGTCTTGGGATTGAGCCCCAAGTTGGGCTCCCTGCTCAGTGGGGAGCCTACTTCTCCCTCTGCCTGCTGATCCCCCTGCTTGTGCTTGCTCTTACCCTCTCTCTGTGTGTGTCAAATAAATAAATAAGATCTTTAAAAAAATAAATAAATAAAAGCTGGCTGTGTGGACTTAGGTAAGTAAGTTCCTTAACTTCTCTGAGCCTCTACTTTCTTTTCTGTAAATTGGAATATAATATAAACTACCTCAAAGGACTCTAGTGAGGGTTAAATGAAATAAGATCTGTTAAGTGCCTGAAACAAAGTAAGTGCTTGCTAAATGCTAGCCACCTGTGGTCACTGTTACTGTGAACAATTACTACGAATATGTACTTTAAAAATATGCCGTTACTTAAAAAAAAAAAAAAAGCAACAAGCAAATTTCCTTTTTTCAGATGGACTCCCAGAAGTGGACAAGGAATTTAAGAGATCAGACAGCACATGCTGAATTAATGAGGTTGGATTATTTACACAGAATCTCCCTCCCTCAAACTTAAAGGCAAAGTTCACAGTTTTATATTAACCCCCAGGAGTATGCAGAAGCAGGAAACATGGGAAGAAACCCAATGTCTCCAATAGTCCTGGGGTTTTGTTTCAAAGTGTTTCAAAGCACTGTAATCTATGGTTATATACGTGTGCGATTTATCTTAACTTTTTCTTGAAATATAACACACACGAGTCCTAAGTGCTCAGCTCAGTTCATTGTCACAAGTGAATACACATGCATAACCTGATCAAGAAGTGAACATGACCAGTCCCCAGAAAGTCCCCTTCTCTGGCCCCTCAGTCACCTCCTCTCCCAGAGGCAGCTGCCATTTGAGAATTCTTTAATTACCGATGTAGATAGTGTCTGTATCCCCCCACATAGGGTTTTCTTTGGGTTGCTGCAACAAATTGTGACTTAAAACAACAGAAATTTATATTCTCACAGTCCTGGAGGTCAGAAGTCCAAATCAAAATGCTGGTTGCGGGCTTGGTTCCTTCTGAAGGTTGACGGGGAGAATCCATCCCATGCCTTTCTCCTAGCTTCTGGTGGCTCCTGGCAAACTCGCTGGTGTTCTTGGAATGTGACAGCCCTCCAGTCTCTGCTTCTGTCTCCATAAGGCCTTTCCCTCAGTGTCCCTCTGTGTCCCATCTGTCTCCCATAAGGACATTCTCATGGATTTAGGGCCCACCATCATCCAGGATGATCTCATCTCCATCCTTAATTACATCTGCAAAGACTCAAATAAGGTCATATCCTGAGTGGATATGAATTTTGGGGGGGATACTATTCAACTCACTACACCCTACAAGCCTGCAAGCCCCAGAGAGGCCAGTGGTGTCCCTCATCTTTGGATCCCCAGAACCTAGCCCTGGGGCCTGACTTCTGTGAGCTGCTCACGAAACGCTGCTGAATGGATGAATAGCTGTGCCCTGGTATGCGGTGGGTGTCAGGCTGGTGAGTGAATGAGGAGTGACTGAGAGTGATGAGTGAATGAGATTCAGACATGGGTTGAGGGTGAATGCAGAAGGTAGAAGTGATAATGGGTGCTGTTCCTTGAGCACCTGCCTTCTGTGTGTGGTTCCATTTAATCCCATGTTATGGATAAGTAGGGGGACGGTACGTCCCGATTTACCTGGGACGATGTCAGTTTGTGCCCATCGTCCCAGGATGACGAGTATGTATTTCTTGCCCACTCTGCCCTTTTGTTCTCAGAAGTGTCAATAAACTGTGCGGTCACTCCACAGATAAGGCCGCCGAGGTCTTAAAGTGCCCTGAAGAATACACTCAGCACCTGATTTGTACCCACCTGAGGTTCTAAAGCCCTTGTCCTCACCTGCTAGTATGGTGGTTGCGAATTAGGAGGCAGGGATAAATAAGCTGATGTCATCGAACTATGTCAAGAGAGAGGGTAGAGGGTGGGCCTCCTCCTGGGACTGCTGGAGGCCAGCTCCCTCCCTGCTCTGGTCCACTGATCTGTGGAGGAGAAGAGGTGGCTCATGAGAAGGAAGGGACCCCTTGGAGGACCCCAGTTTGGAGGAGAACAACAAGACCTCAGAGATGGAGGATGAAAAGACGGGCCCCCTCCTGGCCAGGCAACCCCTTAGGAGAAAGGTCTCAAGGAAGAAAGCCCCCCAGGGGACATTGTCCCCTTTCCCTGCTGCCCAAGAAAAAGAGGCCTGCAGAAAAGACTGGAAAGTTTCTGAACATTGGCATGACAAGGAGCTCACTCTGAACTCTGCATCTTCCTCCTCAAACCTCCTCCTTTTCCAGATTCCCCATCTTGGCCCATGAACTCCCAACCACACTGACTAGCTACATAATTCACAGGGCCCAGTGCAAAATGAAAATGCTGGGTTCCCTTCTTAAAAAGTTATGAGTAACTTCAGGACAGTGACAGCCAGGCATTAAAGAGGCACTGAGCCCTTCTGAGTGTGGGATGGTGCAGGTCACACGCCCATGAAGCTGGCCCTACAACCAACCACCCATTACCCACACTGGAAACCTGGCTGCCATCTTTTGCCTCTCCCTCCCCCCACCCCGTCCATCGAGTCCTGTGGATTCGAGCTCATTACACAGCTGCCCTTTTTGCACCCCAAATGCCATGCCTCCCATCTAGGCAGCATTTCTCACCCCTGGACAATCACAGCCATTCCAACAGCCTCCAGCCTTGCCTGCTCTGGCCCATCCTCCCTGCGCAGCCAGAGAGCTCCCTCCCTACAGGCCAACCCGACCCTGGCACATCCCAGCCACCCCCAGTGGCACTTGCGGTGGCTTGAATTGTGTTCCCCCCACATTCACGAGGTAAAGCCCTAAGCCCTGATGGGGACTGTATTTGGAAATAGGGCCTCGAAGAGGTAATTGGGATTAAATGAGGTCATAGGGTGGGGCCCTGGTCTGATTGGACTAGTGTCCTTATAGGAAGAGACAACAGCGAGCGGGCCCCCACCAGCATGGTCATAGAGGAAACAATGCTAGGCAAGGACCCAGCAAGAAGGTGGCCATCTACAAGCCAGGAAGAGACCATCACCAGAAACCGAATCTGTTGCCACCTTGGTCCTGGACTTCTGGCCTCCAGAACGCTAAGAAAATTAATTTCTGTTCTTTAAGATATGGAGCCTGTGGTCTTTTGTTATAGCAGCCTGAGCTGATGAATACGGTCCCCACTGCCTAAGCTCTGTTCCTGGTCCTTGTGGCCCTGCGTGGCTGGGACCTACTTCTCCGGCTCTTGCCAGAACATCTTCTTTCCTGTCTCTGGGGGCTCCACAGGCTCTCTGTCCCCTGGCTCTTCCACATGCTCTTCTTCTACCTGGGGACTGTCCTCTCTACCTCCTCAGCTGGCCAACGCCTATTCCCTTTTCAACCCCAGCTTGGAAATGAAACATCCCTGACACGCCCCACCCCTGCACAATCAAGGTGGGGCCTCTCTTCCCTGCCCCCACAGCCCCTCCAGGCTCCCCCTCTTGTCGGTTGCACTTGTTACTCATGTCACTGCATATTTTGGGCTTCTCTTGCCTGTTGTTCAGGAGCTCCTGGGGACAGGGACCGTATTCCCCAGCATCTGCTGCTCCCACGGCTTCTTGTCCCTGGCAGCCTCTCAGAAAGCTTGAGGCCGAAGAACAGGGCCAAAGGAGCAGGGCCAAGGGTGCAAGAAGAGTTCAGTTAACTTTGCACTCACCCTCCTCCAAGGGAGAATTTTTCAACCGTGTGTTTTTGGAATGGGTCATTCATTCACTGGGTCAACAAACATCCATTGCTTTCCCAGGTAGGGCGGGGCCCCGGGCCAGGTGCTGGATGCTGCTGAGAAGGTGCCTGAGTCCCCACCAGGAGACACACAGACACCAGACATCACACTGTATTGAAAGAGGGTCTCCCTGGCAAGTCGTGGGAAAGAGAGGATTCAGATCAGACAAGCCTGGATTTGCATGCAGGCTTCGCTCTTCATTAGTTGGTGACCCTGGGCAATCTGCATGCCCCACTTGTTTTACCTTGAAAATGACCCTGACATCCACCTGTTGGGATTAGCAGTTCTCAAACTTTTTGAGAACCCTGTACACTCTTAAGCATTATTGAAGCCCCTACAGATCTTTTGTTTATGTGGGTTATTTCTTTCAGTATTTACCATATTGGAAATGGAAACTAAGACGTGCTAAAAACCTGAGAACACACATACATTCCATTTTCCATCAGAGTAATGACATAATCTTGCCCCAGGACCTGTGCTCAACCAGAAGAGTGAGAAACAAAACCCCAGCTCCCAGCTCCAACTTTATGAGGAAGCAGAGACAACCTTTAAAAAAATTTTTAGGGGGGCGCCTGTCATTTGAGCGTCCAACTCTTTTTTTTTCTTTAAAGATTTTATTTATTTGACAGAAAGAGACACAGCGAGAGAGGGAACACAAGCAGGGGGAGTGGGAGGGGGGGAGAAGCAGGCTTCCCGCCAAGGAGGGAGCCTGATGCGGGGCTCGATCCCAGGACCCTGGGACCATGACCTGAGCTGAAGACAGATGCTTAACGACTGAACCACACAGGCACCCCTATGACTGCTTTTTTTTTTTTTTTTTAAGATTTTATTTATTTATTTGACAGAGAGAGACACCGCGAGAGAGGGAACACAAGCAGGGGGAGTGGGAGAGGGAGAAGCAGGCTTCCTGCTGAGCGGGGAGCCCGATGTGGGGCTCGATCCCAGGACCCTGGGATCATGACCTGAGCCCAAGGCAGACGCTCAACGACTGAGCCACCCAGGCGTCCCAAGCACCCAACTCTTGATTTCCGGCCAGGTCATGGTCTCAGGGTCCTGAAATGGAGCCCTGAGTCGGGCTCTGAGCTCAGCACCGAGTCTGCTTGTCCCTCTCGCTCTGCTCCTCCTCTCACTTGTCCTCTCTCTTTCTCAAATAAATAAATAAAATCTTTAAAAAATTGTTTTAGGGGCACCTGGCTGGCTCAGTCAGTAGAGTCTGTGTCTCTCTTTTTTTAAATTTTATTTTGCTTAAATTTATTTTATTTAAACGTAAAATTTACTTTACTTAAACTGATTAACATATAGTATTAGTTTCAGAGTTAGAGTTCAGCGGTTCATCAGTTGCATATAACACCCAGTGCTCAGTACCTCACGTGACCTCCTTAATGCCCATCACCCAGTTACCCCATTCCCTCCACCCCCCACCCCTCCAGCAACCCTTGAGTCTGTGACTCTTGATCTCGGGGTTGTGACTCGAGCCCCACGGTAGGCATAGAAATTTTTTAGTTTTTTTTTTTTAAGATTTTATTTATTTATTTGAGACAGAGAGAATGAGAGACAGAGAGCATGAGAGGGAGGGTCAGAGGGAGAAGCAGACTCCCCGCCGAGCAGGGAGCCCGATGCGGGACTCGATCCCGGGACTCCAGGATCATGACCTGAGCCGAAGGCAGGCGCTTAACGACTGAGCCACCCAGGCGCCCTGTTTTTTAGTTTTTAAAACCAGCATTACAGGTAGGCAGTATGATGGTACAATTGGTAAACTGTGGAAATATTTCTCCTTCAGTTGATACATAGCAGCTGCCCTAAACCCTGTGAGTGTCCCCAGCACCCTGGCAGCCTCAGCCCACACCAGAGACCCTTTCATTGTTATAAATAATTCTAGAAAGAATACCCCCATAATTGTACCTCCTTTTGATAAATACCTAGAATTAAATTGAATAAAAAGAATGCATATTTTAAGGCTTTGGATTCATATTTTCAAAATGCCCTGTAGAAAGTATACGTTGACTGAAACTCCCATCAATGAAGTATGAAAGTGACCATTTTTCCATATCTTCTCCAACAACGTTTTTCATAGTTTTTTTTTTTTTTTTGCTCGAAAACCTGAAAGGTAAAAAAATGGTACGTTGCTTCAATTTGCTTTTCTTTCATTCCTCAAAATGTTGGATATTCTTTCTTGGTTTATTGGCTATTTGCCTATTTGTGTGTTGGCAGGGCCTCTTTTTACTGTTTTATAACAGATCTTTGTATATGAAGGTGATGGAACTACAAAGTAAACATCTGGATTCCAGAACAGATTTGGGGACTGATTTTCCCTCTCCTACCCCCTCTAACGCTTTCCACGGAGTTAAGAGAGGAATAATTTTTACTCATTCTGGGAAGGCTTATTTATAAGAGAAAAGAAGGTGGAAAACAAAAGATACTGAGAATACAAGTGTTTTCATTTTAGAGGATTTTCCTCTCCAATCTACCGTTCCCCACTTCAAACTGTAGAAAGGTGGCTGTGTTCTTTGTAGCCAGAAAAACTGAGTCACACCTCATATGATCTTTCTGGCTTGCTTTACTCTCTGGGCCAAGTGGGTCCCCACCCAGGAAACCTCCTCACTCACAAGCTGTGCTTATGCAGCTAAGACCCCACTTGTCATCTCACCAAGCCCTGATGTACCAGGTCTCTGCCACTGACCAGCTGTGTGTCCTTGCATGAGTCCCTTAACCTCTCAGTGTCTCAATTCCCTCTGAAATGGGGAAAGCATTATCTCTCAAGGGTTTTTGTGAAGATTAGATAAAGTAATCCATATAAGGCACTGGGCACAGCATAAGGTGCTCAAGAAACATGTGTCAAACTAATAACTGATGATCATTTTTCTTTCAGTTTGTTCTTGGTGTCTACGTGTGGGAGATGTCCTTGTTTAGCTTTCTCTTTCTTTCAGCTGAAAGATCACTCAACTTTTCAGAACAACAATAAACCAAGCCCCTTTACCTTAACCCACAAGGGTTAGGAGACTTTGGTGACAAGCACTGGAAATTAACTGGAACTTAATAGAAAAGAAGGAAGTGGGGAGAATTTATTACAAAGACTCAGCGGTGTCTCAAAGATTCCAAGAGCCTGAAATGGGGATCCTTCTCCCTGTTTCTCCCTGAAGGTCTGCTGTGTCCCTATCTCCCTCTAGACCGGCTTTCTCCACCACTGTAGCCACCACCAACTACTTCTCCCCATTACAGTCTCTACCACACGTAGAGACTCACTAACTGACCCTAAATCCCCAAACCAGGATCTGGTTAGGGAGATTTTGATTGGCCCAGATTTGGCCACATCCAATCAGATGCTGTCCCTTAAGAAATACACAGTAACTGCCAGAGGGCCAATGAGTTCACCAAAACTCCTCTTTATAGCAGCGCCAGCTGAGAAGCTTGAGTTTTCAGAGGGATTAGGGGAGAGGTGACCAGAAATTGAATCCAGAGCTCCCAGAACTGACCCCAGAAGGTCAGACCTTAAAAGACCTTCATGCATTACCTCGTTTAACCTCTGCCCGCATTTTATAGAGAAGGAATGAGGTCCAGAGGTATGTGTTTGTCTGAGGCAGTCTGGGCAATCAGTGACAGAGCTGGAACCAGAGCTCCTGGCACCATGGCCCAATCACATGTGGCTGTCGTAGTCGAGGAACTGAATTTTAAATTTTACTTAAGTTTAATTAATCTAAATTTAAGTCACCACATGTGGGTAGTGACTACCATATTGGACAGGATCGTCCTACAGCTTGAAGCCTTCTGATCGCTCAGGAAAGGAGTAGACATCAAATCCCCCGTAGCTAAAGAATCAAAAGATAAAAACAGAATTCAGGGCAAGAAGATGTATGGAGAAAACTATTACTTTGTAAAAGTATTTAGTAATTATGGAAATGTAAAATGAAATTGCTTTAAGCTCTCCGTTTTGCCTATCAAACAGGTAAAAATAATTAACAGCTGTAAATTATACCATTTAATCTCCCAACAACCTTGTGAAATAATAATTTTGAGTGTTCTCAGAATGCCTGGGCCAGTCATGCCTCCACCCTTTAAGACCTGTGTGTTCTTGGACAAACAACTTTGCCTTTATTTCTTTATCTGTTGTTAATATTACTACCTACCTCAGAGGGTGTTTTCTAGGGGCAAATGGAAAACTGCATGTAAACGGCTCAGCACAGTACCTGGCATGTGATAGGTGCTCGGTATATGCAAGCAGAGATTATTATCTCCATTTTGCATGAGGCCCAGAGAGGGCAACCAACTTGCTCCAAATTGCCCACCTGTTAAGTGTTGAGGCCAGGATTCACACTCAGGTGTCTCTGGTTCCAAAGCCTTCTTCTGGGCTGGCTCTTTTTTTTCTTGAAGATTTTATTTATTTGACAGAGAGAGACACAGCGAGAAAGGCAACACAAGCAGGGGGAGAGGGAGAAGCAGGCTTCCCGCTGAGCAAGGAGCCCGATGCGGGGCTCGGTCCCAGGACCCTAGGATCATGACCCGAGCCGAAGGTAGACACCTAACAACTGAGCCACCCAGGCGCCCCTGGGCTGTCTCTTTACATGGCTCAGGATCCCTTAGCACTCTCCCTCTGCCCCCACTCACCCCCTCCTTGTACCCCTTCCTTTAGAACCCTGGTGACTCTGTGTGGTCTCTAGACTCTGGTTGTCCCTCAGACCTGGCTCCCGAGTGCCCTTCCGTGCATTGGGAACCTTCTGGACTATACACACTTGTGGGGCTGCTGCGGACCGGCTGGCGTGGGGAGGAAGCTCCCCTGTCCTGCAAGAAGAGAGGGAGAGCAAGGCTGGCCCGGTGAGAATGAAGAGGAGGTGGAGGAAGGGGGAGCAAGCCATGAAGTGGCAGAGCTGACTCACCTGGTCTTTGGATCCCAAAACCAGTTTCCTTCCCAACGCTCCACAGATACACAGAAGCAGGAGCTGAACGTCCGGGGATGGGCGATAAACACAACGATCCCAAGAGCCTCACTTTGCCTCTTAGGAACTTGTGGGACTTACAGCTAAGGAACTGTTAACCACGAAGATGCCAAATAATGAGTGAAAAACAAAGCTTAGATGAAGGTGAACTTAGCTACATGATCCAACCACTCACAAATCATTTCTCTACCGCCACCTGTATCGGAAGAGGAAGGGCCAGAGCTGGTCAGTGTGATCAGCACAGCACTGTGATAATAGCCCTCTGGCTGTCCCCAGCTCCCAACTAACTGCCCAGGTTCTAAGAACATGTTAACCTGCGGTTTGTGGTTAGAGCGCCCCCGTGTGTTTCCACTTTGTCATAAGTTCTTTAAAGGACCAATTATCAGTACCATCAAGATTTATGAGGGAGGGGGCTTATCTCCTTGAATCACCACAACACCAAGAAGTTGGTGGCCACCCAGGCCCGGAGGGGCTCAAGGACCACTGAGTGGCTCAAGGACCACTGAGTGAGAGCCGCATAGCCAGGACTCCGATCTGATTAGGTCAGCCTTCTCAGAAGCCTATTCTCTCCGCCACCTTTCCCTGCATCTATCTGGTCTCCAGACACAGAGCCTGGTCCTCAGGAACTGATGTGTGGGTGGTTCCAGAACCTCTGGAGGCTGCCAGCACTGTACTAGCCTCAGACTACAGTCCAGTAGCTTGTCCTCAATTCTGCGGCCAGCCCTTCCGTGTGGGAGACTGCCCCCCCTTCCCCGCCCTCATCTTCTTCCCAGGTCCTACCCTAAACATTCATTCAGCAAGCCAGGGCTGGAGGCTGGGACCCCAGAAATGAGCAGGGTCGGACTCACATCCCTTCCTTCGGGCATGAGTTCACTGGGAGGCAGCGCTGGGCTCTGGTGGAGACTCTGCGGTCAGACAGCTTGAGTCCTGCTACTTTCTTCCCAGCTCCTGAGCCTCAGTTCCCTCAGCGCTCAGGTAGAGTTAGCAGTGGCATAAAGGTGACGATGCGTACAGGAGTCAAGCCCTGAAGGTGGCAGCAGTCATTCTGCTTCATTCACCAAACTCAGGGTTTGCCACGGGTCAGGCTGATGCAGGCGGCTGGAGACAGGGATAAATCCATGTGGTTTGTGAGGCCCAGAAAGGAACAGGAGGCACTTACGTGAAACGCTAGAGCTCCCACCCCCTTGCTCCTTCTCTCCCTACCTTTCCTATACACCCCCCTCCCACAAACACACAGACCTGAATACCCAGGGACAGCAAGTCTGGGGACCACCTCTCACCCCAGGCCCATCTTTGACCCTTGGGCCACTTCCTAGTGCCCAGCCTGGTGCTAGGGGTGATGGGAAGGGGGTATCAATCAGCATCTCAAAGCCCAGAGGAGCCTCCTTTTGGTGGACAGGAGGCTCATCCTCCTCCCAACCCGGAGAGCGAGAGCCCACCCCCTGTGAGATGGCTGCTGTGTTCTTCCCATACATCCCAGGACCAGCGGGCCAATAAGAACAAGGGATTTGAGGGGCGGGCTGGAAAAGGTGTCTGTAAAAGAGGGTGGGGCCCAGTGCCTGGTTGGTCTGTTCTAGGTGTGAGGAGGTTCAGAGGGGCTTCTCCTGGCTCTGGAGGTAGGCACATCCTCTGGCTAGGGGAGAGATCAGAGCATCCTCAGGTGTGAGGTGTTGGAGAGCCCCCCCCCACCCCGCCCCGCCCTGCCCCGGCCAACTGTTTTCCTCTCCTGCCTCACCCTCTGCTGGTTGGGCTGGCCCATTCCCAAGGAAGAGGAGTTCGGGACAGCAGATGGCCAATTTATGCCCTGAGCATACCTGTCCTCTCTCTGAGCAGCTCCCAGCATGGGCAAAGAGAAGACCCACATCAACATTGTGGTCATCGGCCATGTGGATTCGGGCAAGTCCACCACGACAGGGCATCTCATCTACAAATGTGGTGGCATTGACAAGAGGACCATCGACAGGTTTGAGAAGGAGGCCTCAGAGGTGAGGCTGCTCTATCTGAGCTCCCTGCCCCTCCTTCCTAGCTGTGGTTTCCCAGGGAGGGATACCTCATTGTCGGGGAGGAGACTGCTCACTTCCGCTGAGCACCTGCTGGGCTGGTAGGTGCTTTCCCTCTCAATCATGTCAGGCAGGTGATGGCTGTCATTTTCCAGGTGAGACAAATGAGGCTCAGAAGGGTAAAACAGCTTGCCTGAGGATGGTGCCAAGGTTTAAGTACCAGTGTGACACAGATGCCATGCCATATCTCAGGAACTAAAGCTGCCATTTAAAAGAGGGGAAAGGACTTATTTGTCATGCATCTACCAGGGATCTTAAGGTAGTCCCATGGGTACCATGGCAGGTGCAAGCAAGCCTTGCCCCCCAGAAACTCCTGGTCACACACCCTTCTGTCACATAGTAAGCTCAGTAACAGCATGGGTGCTGTAGGAGCCCAGGTCACGAACAATGAACACGTCCTAAGAAGCCTTGAAGGATTCCCGAAGGAATGGATCTCCTCTGAGCCTTGAGGAAATGGGGCAGGTGTCCATGAGCCGCAGGAGATTGAAACAGCAGGTGTAGAGCACCTGAGATGGAGGTCGTTGCCTGGTAGGACAGGCAACATAGGCCTTGAATGCCCTGCTAAAGAGCCTGGTCACTTTCCCTGCAGTGACTAAAGGATTTCAGGCACGGGAATGATAGGAATCAGGCAAGATCTTTTTAGGAAGAGCACACTGGCTGCAGCATGGGGAGAACAGGCCAAAGGGCCCGATGCTAGGGGCTAGAAAGCCGGTCGGGAGGTTGTTGCTGTTGACCATGGGAGCAAGGACGGTGGCCTGGGCTCAGGCAGCAGCAGTGGGCATGGAGAGTAATGTGTGGAATCCAGGGACGTGGAGGTGGGGAATCCTCAGAACTTAGCAGTTAGCTGTAGGGAAGGGGGCAAGGGAGGAAGAAGAGTTGAGGGTGGTCCCCAAGTTTCCAGCTTTGGAAATTGGAAGGTCAGGGAATACCAGGGGCAGAGCTGATCTGGAGTCCGAACAGGTCTGCTCTAGATGTGTGAAATTTGAGGTGTCCACAGGGCTTTCTGTGCTCATATCCAGGAGGGCAGCTGAATAGTGAAGTCTGGAGCTCAAGACGGAAGCCTGGATTGGGGACTAAACCACGGGAGTGAGCTGGAAAGGGTGAGGGACAGAGCCCCAGGACAGGTGAAGTAAGAGCCCAGGCAGGAGAATGAGAAGGGAGAGCCAGGGAGGTGAGTAGAAAACCTGACACTTGAAGAAGCATCGGACAAGACAGGAATAGTCTGTAGAACCAGCTGCTGCAGAGACAGAAATAGGATGGAGAAGAGAAAGCAACAGGTCCTAAATCAGTGCCATCAGCTATTCTCATCTTGGCTTCCTCAGGTATAGTCAGAATTGTTGTGGGAGTGCTTATGTGGCAAGGGCTGCCAAGTAAAGCTTTAGAACTGTGAGAAAGAGACTGGTCCATAGCCAATACGTAGAAACATAGCCAAGAAGGTTATGGAAAAACAATGGGGTGGTTCTCAAACTTTCTGGTCTCAGGAACCCTTTGAATTCTTAAAGGTACCCCAACGAGTTTGTTTATGTAAATGAGATCTATATATTTATGATATTCAAAATTAAAACTGAGGTTTAAAAATGCTTAACTCACTTAAAAATAATAGTAATATACTCCTTATATATTAATGTAAATATCACACTTTTTGTGTATGAAAAATAACTATTTTCCAAAACAAAGAATCTTGCGAGGGTGACATTTTTGCTGATATCTTTAATGTCTGACTTAATAGAAGACAGCTGGATTCTCATCTGCTTCTGCAATCAACCTGTTGAGATTTCACCTCTAGAAAGCACCACTGCACAATGATGAGAAAATGAGGGCGGGAAAAGGCAAATAATGTCTTAGCATTATAAAAACAGTTTTGACCATGCAAACTCTATAAACGGTATCAAGGTCCCCAGAACACACTTTGATAGCTACTTATCTAATGAATATTCTAACCTGTAATGGACTTCATAAAATAGAAGTTCCTACAGTAGCAAAAGTTAGGATACCTGGGTTCTATGTCTGTCTTTTAGTAAACTAATTAGTTTTCTTGAGGAAGCCACCTGGTCTCTGGTCTTTCCTTTTCTTCACTCTGCCCTCTAATTAGAGCTGAAATGAACATATGCTCAGGACCCCTGAACTGGCAAGTGGTAGAGTATACCCTAGACCAGCATGTTAACTTGAATATGCTACCGACTTTTGGTCACCTTTTTACCAGTGCTGAAATCGGCTCAACTTCCCCAGGCTGCCAAGGGTAATTATCAGTCATAGATACCATTTAACATAGGGTAGCGGCTACGAGTTTGAACTTGAGTCTGATGCTTTTTGGTTCAAATCCTGACTCTGCTGTTTATTAATCCTATGATCTTGGGCTGGTCAGTTAATTTCTCTGTTACTTCATCTGCAAGATGAGGATAATACTCCACTAAGTTGTTGTGAGATTAAATGAGATAACCCATGTTAAGTGCTTAAAACAGCACCAAGTTCAAGGTCAGCATTACTTACATGTTCGCTATTACTGATTTGAGGGCTTGCTGACCCTCTGCCAGGAGGTCCACATGCTTGCCTAGGCACTTTGTCATTTGGCCCTGGGTCACTCTGACTCCCAAACCAGCGCTGAAAGACAAACTTAATTATACAAGTAATAAATTATGTTGTTTGAAATATTCAAAGGTCTCTCCATACACAGTCCTGTTACCATCCCTCTGACTCTCAACTCTTTCGTAACTTCCTTCCTGGTTGATGGGCAGCTTTGGATATAGGGGTGACCCTGGGGCTTTCCCTCCTGCTCCCGGCCCAGGTGGGCAAAGGCTCCTTCAAGTATGCCTGGGTGCTGGACAAGCTGAAGGCAGAACGGGAACGGGGCATCACCATTGACATCTCCCTGTGGAAGTTTGAGACCAAAAAATATTACATCACCGTCATCGATGCCCCAGGTCACCGTGACTTCATCAAGAACATGATCACAGGGACCTCACAGGTACCACCGGAGTCGTCTTGGCTCTGCTGCAGGGGTGGGCAGTGGGTGTCCCTGGCCAAGTCTGAGTTGGGCCTTCTTCTGTCTGTCACTTGGGCCAGGCAGACTGTGCTGTGCTGATTGTGGCCAGTGGTGTAGGTGAGTTTGAGTCTGGCATCTCCAAGGATGGGCAGACCCGTGAGCATGTACTGCTGGCCTATACGCTGGGTGTGAAGCAGCTCATCGTGGCAGTCAATAAGATGGACATCACGGAGCCTCCTTACAGTAGCGCACGCTTTGAGGAGATCAGCAAGGAGGTGAAGGCCTATATCAAGAAGATCGGTTACAACTCTGAGGCTGTCGCCTTTGTGCCCATCTCAGGCTGGCATGGGGACAACATGATAGAACCCAGCACCAAGGTGAGAACTGACTGGGATGGGGCTAATTAAATGCAACATTCCCACTCAAATCTTTGAGCTTCTTCGAGAATATAATACCCAGGATTTACAGCATGCTTATGGGCCAATCACTGTGAATGATCCCCATTTTACAGGTGAACAGAGGTTATTCAAGACTACATGACTAGTAAGCATAGAGCTGCATTGAGCAATGTAGCATTTAGTTACATGTGGTTATTATTTTTTTTTAGATTTTATTTATTTATTTGAGAGAGTGAGAGAGAGAACACAAGCAGGGGAGGGGAGGGGCAGAAGGAGAGGGAGAAGCAGGCTTCCCGCCGAGCAGGGAGCCCGATGCGGGGCTCGATCCCAGGACCTGGAATCATGACCTGAGCCGAAGGCAGACGCTTAACCAACTGGGCCACCCAGACGCCCTGCCTATTAACTTTAATAATTTAAGTCAAATGAAATAATTTCAGTTCCTTAGTTGTATTAGCTACGTTTCAAGTGTTTCACAACCGCATGTGGCTACCATGTTGGACAGTGAAGTTACAGAATGTTTCCATCATTGCAGAAAGTTCTGTTGAGCAGTGCAGGTAGAGACTGTAATTCTAGTCCACGCTCACAGCATCTAAGCTACCTCTCTAGGCAGGTTAGGAAGTGTGGGGGCAATATAAATGTGTCTAAGATATAGTCACTGCGCTCATGGATCCCAGAATCTAGCCGGGTTTAAAATTCTTAAATGAGTGTCTCCCTACAAAGGAAGTCTAGTTCTCTGGCATCAGACCTGGGGTCAAGCCCCAGCTTTCTCCCTTGCCCACAGTAAAGAGGTAAGAGAGGAATTAATACTTTGGGCATTAGGACTTACTTCATGGGACTGTGAGCATTAAATGAGAGACTCCACACGGGCATCGGTTCATGCATACAGTTGGTGCTCAAATGCTAACTGCTATCCCTTACTACTTTATTGCCTAAAACCTAACTTTTCCATAACTGACTTGAGGATCCTTAGCCTTTTCTTCCACATGGACATAGCATAATCTTTTTCTGATTATAAAAGTAATGCCTAACATTTTTACAATGAGCCTTTCATGCAGATATGAAGCATAAACTTCATGGCTTATAGATAACCTAGTTTTCATGCAGTTCTTTCTAGATATTCACAGCTGGACTCAAACTGTACATAATTTTCTATAAAACTCTTTATTTTAAAAATTTTCTTTGCCATTTAAACATGTTGAATACTTAGTGGGTGTTTTATATCATAGATCACAGAGGTACATTAGACTGTGTAGCCATACCCATTATTAAGTAAAAGTGGTACTGAGAGATTTACCATGTGCCAGACACCAGACTAAATACTTTACATGCACACAACCTCATGAAGAAGACATTTTACTCCCATGTAAAATAAGAAAACTTGGACACAGTATAGTTAAGTGATAGCCCAAGATCACAAGCTTCTAAGAACACTGTTTCTAGTTTTATTAAAAATTGCCGTAAGCATCTTGCTAAATAAATCCTTGCATGTGTCCTCATTAATTTAATTAGAAAAAGCTCCTAGTGAAACAAAGGGTAGGCATTATCTTGGAGTCTTCTGACACATATGGCCCAATTGTCCTTGGGAAAGATTAGAGCTACCACTGGGCAGTGTGTTCCTTTGGATGGTACTTCAATATTTGCATGCTGGGCACTGTCCTTGGTGCTGAGGTTGTGGTAGCAAATGATAGGCAACCCCGCTCGTAGCAGTATGGTCTTCTGGGGGTAGTGGTAATATAGGGGATGATGACAAGTGCTAAGAAAAATGTAAGGCTGAGGGAGGCATGATATGAGAGTGTTACTCTATATTGGGTGGTGAAGGGGGTCTCTTCTAAAATGACAGTAGAACAGAAGCCTGAAGCTTTGCCCATTTCACCCCCACTTCCCAAGTATTACCACAGAGTTCAGCTAGTGAAATAAGGGGATTTCATTCTCCTGTCCCTTTGGTTATTTATTAGGCATCTAGGATGTTCTAAAATATTTTATTCATTTGACAGAGAGAGAGAGAGCATGCACGCACACAAGTAGGCAGAGGGGCAGGCAGAAGGAGAGGGAGAAGCAGGTTCCCCGATGAGCAGGGAGCCCAACGTGGGGCTTGATCCCTGGACCCGGGGATCATGACCTAAGCCAAAGGCAGATGCTTAACAGACTGAGCTACCCAGGTGTCCCATATCTAGTATGTTCTAGATGCTAAAAGAACAAAGCATGCACTCAGTGGACTAGATAGATTTAGGGTTTAGCCTTTGCTCTCAAGAAATACCTGTGACATCGGAGACCTCAGTTTCCCCATTTTTAAGATGGGGATGATACTGATCTCATAGGCTTATTCAGGCCTCTGAGTTGGCACAGAGACAAATTAGTTGCTAAGTTCACCAAACTAATAGAAGAACTTATCTTTACCAATGAGGCTGGTGTTTGAGTGGGAAGTTGACCCACAGAAAGGAGCCAAATGGAATTCCAGTTAACTGATACATCTCTGAAGGCAAAGATGATGTCTTTGCTGAGCTTTGGCCAAGGTTTTTAGAGAAGTAAATATAGTATCTACTTAAAAGGTGTGAATACAGTGCACTGTCATCTTTAAGGTTATCCTTCTAGAAAGCCTTATGCTCAATAATGCTGCCCCTCCTTGCCTAAGATGTTGGGGAACATCTAGTCTTTAGAAGGTATAAGTGTTAGAGTATTCGAGTCTTGTTTTCATTCTCATTCCTGATGCTTACTTAACTGTGCCGCATGTTTTCTCTGCTCCTCCTGTGTAATGAGCAGATGGAATAAGACCTAAGAGCTAATCAGATTCAAGGAATCTCTGCCCCCTAAAAATATTGGCTCAAGTGAGGGGCAACACCTACAAGATTTAGAGGAATGACCACCATTTAGTGGGTGTGTAGTACATGTCAAACATTGTGCTTGGTGGACTGTGTGTGGTCTTTTGTGTCTTCACTTGAGCCTGCAAAGTAGGTGATGGTATCTGTTTTACAGATGAGGAAGCTGAGGCTCAGAATGCATTAAAAAATTGCTTGAGGTGCCATGTTAAATCCAGGTTGGCACCTGCGACAGGCTCCCTCAAGCCTAAGCAAGCTGCACATTTGGTGGCTTTTCTAGATGTCCTGGTTTAAAGGCTGGAAGATCACCAGGAAGGAAGGAAACATGGTGGGCATGACACTGCTAGAAGCACTGGACTCCATCATGTCCCCTGCCCGCCCTATGGACAAGCCCCTGAGGCTGCCTCTGCAGGATGTATACAAGATTGGGGGTGAGTATGTGCTATGTGGGGGTGCTTGGGGTTGGGGGCTCACTGAAGGCTGGCTGCTGACCATTCTGGTTGCTCTGTCCCCCCAGGCATCGGCACCGTGCCCGTGGGCCGGGTGGAAACAGGCTTCCTCAAGCCAAGCATGGTGGTGACCTTTGCCCCCTGCAACATCACCACAGAGGTCAAGTCTGTAGAGATGCACCACGAGGCCCTGGCTGAGGCCCTGCCTGGAGACAATGTGGGCTTCAATGTGAAGAATGTGTCGGTGAAGGACATCAGGAGGGGCTACGTGGCGGGAGACAGCAAGAATGACCCGCCCTTAGAAGTGGCAAGCTTCGTCTCCCAGGTGAGGAGGCCCATTTAAGGGGTGTCTTCTGAGACAGCCATGCTGTCCTACATGCAGAATGGTTCACTGGGTCATTCAGGAAGTGGGCACTGAGCATATGCTCTATGCTGGGCTCTTGACCAGCAGTATAGGTAGAATCCGGGTTAGAATCCTGACTGCACCTTATTTGCTACTTTGCCCTTGAACAAAACAATGCAGTTCAATGGTCTTCTTAGTTTCCACAGTATGGTCTTAAAGCAGTTGTTTTCAAACCTGGTGGATTAGAATCACCTGGGAAGCATTTCAAAAATGCAGATTCCTGGGGCGCCTGGGTGGCTCAGATGGTTAAGCCTCTGCCTTCGGCTCAGGTCATAATCCCAGAGTCCTGGGATCGAGTCCCACATCCGGCTCCCTGCTCAGCAGAGAGCCTGCTTCTCCCTCTCCCTCTGCACCTCCCCCTGCTCATGCTCTCTCTCTCTGTCTCTCTCTGTCTCAAATGAATAAATAAAAAAAATCTTAGAAAAAAAATGCAGATTCCTAACATTTTTCCCAGTGGTTCTGCGGAATGATTCAGTAGACATGGGTGGAAGCTGGGAATCTGTATGTTAGAGCTCTCAGGTATTTCTTCGGCCCAGAGTTAGAATGTGGAGGCTGTTCTGAATGCAACGTCTGGCACATTCTTACTTCTGCAGGTGGAGGCTTGCACTACCTCGCAGTGAGCTTGGGAGCATTACATGAGGTGATGATATGTAAAACAGCTGACCTGGGGCCAACAGGTCATCTAACAAGTTAGTCAGCTGCTATTGTAATGCATTTTTCTAAGTGGCAGGGAAAAGTACTACATAAATAACATGTATGCTTGTAGGTTTTAGTATCACTCATCCCTAGCTCTGCCACCTCCCTGCTATTTCATCATGGGTAAATTACCCAGGCTCTTTGCTATGAAAATTAAATTGGAGTGCATGAGATATGCTTAGCACAGAACTTGGTATACTCTATAAATGTTCAAATGCTCACTATAATTTAAAGTGTGTCCAAGGTGGGACGCCTGGGTGGCTTAGTTGGTTGAGCGTCTGCCTTCAGCTCAGGTCATGATCCCAGGGTCCTGGGATTGAGTTCCGAGTCGGGCTCCCTGCTCAGCAAGGAACCCGATTCTCCCTCTGCCTGCCGCTTCCCCTGCTTATGCGCGCTATCTCTCTCTCTGACAAATAAATAAGATCTAAATAAATAAATAAATAAGTGTGTCCAAGGTGCCTGACCCCTTAGCTGGTTAGGGCTACCTCCTCTGGAGGATGCTGGGCTAATGCCTTCCCCCGCTCCCATCCCACCCTGGGTTCCAGGTAATCATTCTCAACCACCCTGGCAGCATTACCACTGGCTACTCACCAGTCCTGGACTGCCACACGGCCCACATTGCCTGCAAGTTTGCAGACCTCAGGGAGAAGATTGACCGGCGCTCAGGCAAGAAGCTCGAAGACAATCCCAAAGCCCTGAAGTCTGGGGACTCAGCCATCGTTCAGATGATTCCACGAAGGCCCCTGTGTGTGGAAAGCTTCTCAGAGTACCCGCCCCTCGGTAAGTCCTGATAGCACTTGGCTCCTGGAGCTGCCCCTTCCTCCTCCTGGCTCTAGGGAGCCAGTGTTCGAACGGGTCACACCCAAACCAGATTGCAGAACCTGGTCAGAAGGACTGGCGTTCCAGGTTAGAGGGGCCCCCAAAAAGGAAAGTAGCTTGCCTAGTGTCACACAGCAAGGCAGGGCCATTTTAGAGCCTTGTTACTCAAAGTGTGGTCCATGGACCAGCAGCATGGGCATCCCCTGGGAAGTGGAGAACCTCAGGCTCTATCCAGACCTGCTGAACTCAAATCTTCAGTTTAACAAGATCCACAGGTAATCGGGATGCACATCAATTTGAGAAACCCTGATTTAGAGGAGGTGAATAAACCAGAGATTAGCAGGGATTTTCTTTTTCCTTCTTAATCTTCAGTGCAGTCGTTTTCAAACCTGGTGGATAATCAGAACCATTGATGGACCCTGTTAAACCCAGAGGTTCAGGCCCTGACAGATTCACCTGATCAAGGCTGCAGCCTAAAAGTCTGTTTCTTAGATTTCCCCAAGTATATTCTGCATGGCTAGGTTTGAACAATTAACCTAGAAAGTTCTGACCTCAAATATATAGGGAGTAGGCATTTTTATACAGTGCCTGCTCTGTGCTAGATGATAGATATTTATAAACAAACAGGTTCTTGCCCTCAGCGCCTCCCAGTTAATGGGGAGGGGGGCGAATTTCAAAAGGCTAGTTTTATTTATTTTTTTATTATGTTATGTTAATCACCATACATTACATCTTTAGTTTTTGATGTAGTGTTCCATGATTCATTGTTTGCGTATAACACCCAGTGCTCCATTCCTCCATTCAGTACGTGCCCTCTTTAATACCCATCACCAGGCTAACCCATCCCCCCACCCTCAAAAGGCTAATTTTAGAGGTGGGCCACAGATGCCGCCACATGAATCTTGCAAAGCTGGTTTAGTTCTTTCTACCTCTGCCAAAAATACTGTGAGTTTGAAGCCAGATGCCAAAGCCTTGCCCTCCACAGTCTGAAGTCAGAGGAGCATTCAAGAGCCCCCAGGAGAAGCAATTGCCGGATTCACAGCTGAATGTAAATGAGATCTATCCTATGGGTTGTTGTGATGGGCACAGAGAAGGTGCTAATTGCTTGGAGGCTGGGAGCATTAGTATGTACGGTAGGGTGGTGGATGCACCAAAAGCAAAGTTTTCCCTGTGACCTTTACTTATGGAAGTAGGACAGTCCAGTGGCTAAGAATATAAGTGCTGGTGTGAGACTTTCTGGGTTTTCAACCATCACAGCAAAGTGACCTTCTACTTCTTTGCCCCAGTTTCCCCAACTGTAAAATAGAGTGAGATCTACTTTGAGTTGTTGAGATAATTAAATGCACTCCTATGTATAATTCAGAATATCACTGATTTGACCTCCCGTGCCAGTGTCCTATAGCTGGTGCCCTGTGGTAGCATTCCCCACCTGTTTCTTCATGTCCTGTGTCCTAGGTCGCTTTGCTGTGCGTGACATGAGGCAGACCGTGGCTGTTGGGGTCATCAAGGCTGTGGAGAAAAAAGCAGCGACTGGTGGCAAAGTCACCAAGTCTGCCATGAAAGCAGCCAGGAAGTGAGTGGTGACAGCTACTCTAGGACTTTCTGGGAGAGGGGCAGCCCAGGAGGAGCCACAGCTGGAAAAGAACGGCTCAAGGAGAAGCCTTAGCTTACTCTTCTCTTGCCTGAACGGTCTTAAACCCGCCCCTGCTAATGCACTTTTCTTTTTGCTGATGAATCTGAGGCATGGGAATAAAGCACAGCAAGTCTTTTTGCCTCTGCCTCTGACCTTGATTGCAAGCAAGAAGGAAGCAGGTGGGGTGCTCAGTCTAATTCTACCCCTCACCTTCCTTCTGGTGCCTGCCTGAGCAAAACCAGAGAGCTAGGGTCACAGGGAGGAAAATGTGTAAAGGGGAAAGTGTAGGGCAGCTTTTGGCCCAGGCCAAGTTCATCAGTTCCTAGAACAGGACTCTGGTGTTTTAAACTGCCTGACTTAAATAGTGTCTATAAAAGTTACTGAATCTTCTGTGTGCCTTGCTTGTCTGTAAAATGGGAAGATAATAGTATCTGCCTCCACAGGGATGTTGAAGTTTGAGTGAGCTGGTACCTGCTGGGCATGGTAATCAGCTACTCTCATTCACATGGTGGGGGCACTGGAGGCAAGAGAGCCCTATTATGGGGACGTTCTATCGGAAAAAACTTGAGGAGAAGGGGATGAGCCTGAGGTTTGTAGGATGAGCTGTTTTATATTTCCTAGGTATATGTTTCCCTCAGGTTACTTTTTTAACTTCAGTTTAACAATTTGAGTCACAAAGTTGCAAGAGGCAATTTCACCCAGATTCCCCAAATCTTATTTACCATTTTTTACCCGAATTATTTGAGAGTAAGCTGCAAACATGGTGGCCCTTTACAATGAATACTGTAAGTCCAAGAATATTCTCTGATATAATCAAGGTCGAGTAATCAGAATGAGGACATTAAATTAACATGGGTACACTTCTGAAATCTGCAGACCTGATTCAGATTTTGCCAATTATTCCAGAAACATGCTTTATAGCAAAAGAAAATCCAGGATCATGTGTTGCATTCAGCAGTCTTGTCTCTTTATTGCAAGTTGTGGAGCAGCCCCTCCCTTGGCTCTGTTCCTCCCAGAGGTTTGGTTGAGACATCTGCTCTGGGCTAGCTAGTTGCTGCCTGATGGAAGAAGCTCAGAGATGCGGGTTGGTAGGAGGGGGTGTCTCTTTGCTCTCCTCCATCAGCCCAGCTTTCCAGGAGTCCCTTGCATCCCTACTGGATGAAACCAGGAGAGCCCGAGGGCTTTTATCTCCCCTGTAGCAGCGGGAGAAGGGAATTACGGCAGCAGAAGTGAGAGGCTTGTCTCCTTTTCCACCCAAGACCTTTGCCCATTTATTCTGTTAAAGAAACGGCAGATTCAAGACCAAGTTCTGCCTGGGATGTGGATCCTGGCAGCCCCTCGGGTCCTGCTGCTGAGGATTAGTGTAAACCAGGAAGCCCTACTCTTGTTTGCGATTGGAGCCTGTCTGTCAGACTAATCTGCAAGCCATTTTTGTGCATGCAGGATGACTGCTGATTGTACACCATGTCTAACACTTTTTTTTGGGGGGGGGGTAAAGGGTTGCTTGGAAACAGTGGGTTTATATTAAGAGTAACCCCTTATTGCGAGCTTAACTGTGTGCTCTACACAATTACCTCGTTTAATTTTCACAACGATCTCCTATGATATCGGTACCCATTTTAAAGCTGAGGAAAACTGAGGCTGAAAGAGGTCTAATTAGTAACCCGCTGTGGGTCGCGTGTCTATCAGCCAAGACAGGAGCATACTGTCTCCACAGCTCAGGACTCTTAAGTCATCACTGTTCTAACTATAAATTCCATTTGTTTACATTGTCACCGAGTAAATTATATACACTTACAGTTTGCATAACTGATTTCACATAGTCCTGGAAGTCTCATCACGCCAAGAACCACCAGGTACGGAGACTGTGGGAGGGAAGGGCGCCCACAGAGACCGGAAGTTCAAGGAAAAGCCCGTTCAGGGAGCTTTAAAGACCAATTTTGGAAACCGGGTCCCGGTGGCCGGCGAGCGCGGCTCACACTGGTGGGCGGCGCCCACCGAGCCGACCCCGCGCTGCGCCGCGCCGCCCCCACCCCTTTTCCTCCGCCGCAGCTCTGGGTGTCCTGCGGAAAGAGCCCGCCTCCGCACCCATAAGGCCCTGGGCCGGAAGCTTCACTTCCTCTTCCTGTTCTCCACCATGGCGGTGAGTAGCTGATGCCTGGGTTTGCTTCCCTTCATCCGCCTTCATCCACGGCGGGCGAGGCCGCGGGAGCTGTCTCGTCCGCGGCCCGAGAAGAGGGGAGCCCGCAAGGCTGGCCGTGCCGAAAGTGGCAGAGCCATGCGGGCCGAGAGCGCAGAGCTGAACGTTGTCGCCTCCCCTTCCGCCCTCTTAGGAGCGGGCTCGGGGCAGCCGCTGGGAGGGCTCAGAAGCGCGGCCCGTAGGCTGCAGGGAGGGCGAGTGGAGCGAACGGAGGGGCTGGCACACGGTGTCCGGCCCTGTTACCCGTCCCGGGGACTTGAGACTTGCCGCGCGGGCTAGGGAGCCTCAGCTTGTTCCTCCGCTTGGGGAAGGCGCTAGCCTTCTGCCGCGGCCACCCGGCTGCTCCGGAATGGAATGGGGGCCGTCGCAGAACCACGTGACTCCCGTTTCCCCAGCCGTTTAAATTCTGTTTTCTCCCCGGTCGGCTTCATAGTGCGGACGCGCTCCGACACCTTACACGCTGAGCCCGGTGGGGTTCGTCCTCTGCCTGTAACTTTAACTCCCGATACCTGTCCTCGGTTTCTGATCGCCCATTCCGTGCGTGGAGGAGGAAACCAGATCCCGAGCTGTCTTCTGCCTTGGTGCCTCCCACACAAACGCCGTGATACTTTTTAAACCCTTTAGGGCTTTCGTTAGGAGCCAGGATGAGCAGAAATAGGTATGCTGTGTATGCTACTGCTGGCCTCGGGGCTGTGGCGGGGTTGTGTGTTGACTGCGGCGCTCCCCTTGTTGCAGCAGGATCAAGGTGAGAAGGAGAACCCCATGCGGGAACTTCGCATCCGCAAGCTCTGCCTCAACATCTGTGTGGGGGAGAGTGGAGACAGACTGACCCGGGCAGCCAAGGTGCTGGAGCAGCTCACAGGCCAGACGCCCGTGTTCTCCAAAGGTGAGTGGTGGCAGTCGGGGGAGGGGACCGGCGGCTGCGTATGCCTGCATTTTTCCTAATTTACCCGGCGTCCAGCCTGTTCAGTGCCCGTTTTGAAAGTGACAGTTGGTGTCCCTTAAAAGCATTACTTTCCTGAGCTACCCAAGAAGTATCTTCCTTTCAAGATTGGGTTTGGTGTTGGAATACCGGGTTTTTAAGTTAGCAGGAATTAAGCTAGGACTAGTCCCAAGTAGAGATTTTCCGGGGAGAGTTAGAAATGTTGGGAATGCAGTGAATGGTATTTGGCTTGATTCACATTTGGAATTTATAGGCTACAGTAAGAACAGAGCTGTGTGCCTGGACCAGCTGGGTTCAAATCCTGGTTCCATCATTTGCTAGTCTGACTTTGGCCTTTCTGGGTCTCAGCTTGGTTATTTACCTAAAGGGGATGATAATACTTAATAAGATTGTGAAGGATTAAATGGGTTCTATGAAGTGCCTGCTATATACCAAGCTCAGTGTAGATGCTACCATTGTTTTGTTGCCTTTTTTTTGTTTTTGAAGTTCCATTGCTTTAGGATAGTGGAATATGGCAAGTTCTTGGGTTCAGATCCTGCCTTTTATTACCAACTGTGATTTGGGGCAAGTTAACTTCCCAGAACTTCATCTGTAATATGAGGATACCATTACAATAACGCTTTAGAGAATCTTAGCTATTTTCAGTAATGTTTTGTTTTCTTTAGAACACAGTGATCCTATTTCTTTCTAGTGGCCTAGTCTGGCTGTGAACTTGGCCCATCCTGAGACTCCAACATTATGACTTTGAGCACTTTTTTTTTTTTAAGATTTTATTTATTTATTTGACAGAGAGCACAAGCAGGGGGAATGCAGGGAGAGGGAGAAGCAGGCTTCCCTGCTGAGCGGGGAGCCCGATACAGGGCTCCAGGGCTCAATCCCAGGACCCTGAGATCATGACCTGAGCCAAAGGCGGACGCCTAACCGACTGAGCCACCCAAGCGTCCCACTTCGAGCTCTTAATTGCCTAAGTATGACTGAGGACTTGGAAGTTGAAAAATATGTTTTCTGTGTTATGGATGAAACCAGATGTAGGTGACACTGGTTAGAACGCCACCGTTTGGGATGTGGGTAGATATTTAATGTCTCCTAGGAGTTATGAAGATGATCTGGGTAAGAGGTGAGTGCAGTGGGAGTGTGATACCTGACTCCTTGTTTACCCCTGCCTGCAGCTAGATACACGGTTAGATCCTTTGGTATCAGGAGAAATGAAAAGATTGCTGTCCACTGCACAGTCCGTGGGGCCAAGGCAGAAGAAATCCTGGAAAAAGGTCTAAAGGTGAGGCTGATCCCCTCATGGGATAATAATAAAGAGTGCCAACTTAACACAAGTACATAATAACAGTGGTGGTGGTTACACTTCATGTACTGTCTTTGGTGCCTTGGCTTTTTAATTTTTTTATTATTTTTTAATCTCTAAAGGGGGTTTCCTGCACTCAGCAAGGTTTAAACCATTCTTAATGATTTCTCTGGGTTTTTCCATGCCTTTTAAATGTTGGGAAAATTCTGTGAAATTCATCGTTGGGATGTGATTTGGTGTTGTGGGGAAATGATGAGATTTTGTTCAGGATCAAATTATATCGAATTGCATCTCTGGGGTGCTGAGTGTTGAGGACTAAGCTAGGAATTTGCGGGGGGATTTGAGTTGACGAGGAGTGTGATTGCTGCATTTTTCTCCTTAGGTGCGAGAGTATGAGTTAAGAAAAAATAACTTCTCTGATACTGGAAACTTTGGCTTTGGGATCCAGGAGCACATCGATCTGGGGATCAAATATGACCCTAGCATTGGTATCTACGGCCTGGACTTCTACGTGGTATGAATATTTAATCTTCTATTCTTGGCATGTGAGGAGAGTGGATCTGCTACTCCTTTGTGTGTGCTATCTTGATGTTCAGGTGTTGGATTAAAGCTTTGAGTGTTGTCTGCCTTTGTGTTCTGCCCCTTGGGAAGATGTGCCTCGTTTGTGGCAGGGATCAGGATACAGCACTGAACTAGATGGACAAGATCCTGCTATTGCGAACCTTATAGTCTAGGATCTAGCAAGCACCAATATGGCTTAGAGGTGGAAGAAGGAACTCTTCCACCCACTGTATTGAAAGTTTGAGAGAGTTCTGGTGCTGTATTTGGTGTGTGGGTTGGCCGGACTGAGGCCGCTCTTTTCCCAGCTCCTTCCCTTAGACCTTGGGGATAGAGTGGCTTCCATCCAGAGGATGGAAGTTTGGTGAGTTTGGTGATGTGGCTGTTTGCTCAGTCAGGATAGTAGGGATTTCAGTGTAGAAATGACCATTTGTGTTACTACATGTCTGTCCAACCATGAAACCACACAGCAAAAAGCAGAAGTCCTGATTAGTGTGGAACCTGAGTCATGGCAGCACCCTCATTAGATTTGAGTATCCAAATACTAAGGAGAATTAGGTGCTCACAGGGAGTTTGGGAACAGCAAGCCTTTAAGAAGCACTTTTGAACTAAAGCAGAAGAGAAGAATAACTATTTCTTTGTGCTTCTCAGAATCTTAAGTTTTCTAAAATGCACATACTATAGTAAGATTTTTTTTTTTTAACATTACTTTAAAAATGCACTTTGGAGACTGGGGAGCCATGAGGGAGAATCCTTAGCTACCATTGGAAGTTGGGCAGGGAGGGGGGAGGTACTGTAAGTTCCAGCCTCCAGAGCAGACCTATAGTGTGGTATGTTGTCCAGGATGCTGCTAACCAGTTTATCAGACCCTGAGATCATGGGTCTCTTGCTCTGGAAATCATTGGGCTACCACGTGACTCTTGAAGATCAATCTCCAATGTGTGAGTCTTGTCCGTCTACTCTTGACTGTGAGCTGGCTAGGTGACTGTTGGTTATTCCTGGGACAGGTGCTGGGTAGGCCAGGTTTCAGCATCGCAGACAAGAAGCGCAGGACAGGCTGCATTGGGGCCAAACACAGAATCAGCAAAGAGGAGGCCATGCGCTGGTTCCAGCAGAAGGTAAAGCTGATTTATCTCAGGTGACCTGGTGGAATGTGGTGTTGGTGAATAGAGTTGGGATTTGGGGGTGCAAAATCCCGCACCATTTGGTGGGTAGTTTCTTTAAAGATAGAGTATTTGGGCACCTTGGCAAATGTGGGTTTCCAGGGTTGGTGGTTTGAACACCCAGAGTCAGGCTTTCTCCCCACCGCCATACATGCAGGTAGAGGAAGGGGAGGAATATGGCTTTAATAAGAGCCCCCTTTTCTCAAGGTATAGTGCAGTTCAGCACAGTGTAGCAGTTGTTAAAACTGGCCAGTTTCCTGTTTAGTCCAGAAGGAATGTGGGGTTCAGAGCTGAATTCACATATCAGATGTGAATTCTCAAACGTTAGCCATTGCTGCCATCTTTGCTGTTGCCTCCTGTTGTGAAAAAATAAAATCTCTTCTCTTTCAGTATGATGGGATCATCCTTCCTGGCAAATAAATTCCCGTTTCTATCCAAAAGGCCAATAAAAACTTTTCAGTGAAATGTATATTACTGTTGTGTGTTCTGTGAAAGGAGCCTGGCCATATTCAAGTCCCTGGACCTCAAGCCACTTAAAGCTTCGATGGGAATAGCTGGTAACGACCCTGTCGTCCTCTGGATGCCAGTGTTTCCTGGCAGATTGAAGCCTGAGCTTCGCAGCATTGCCTGTGCTCCCCACACCCTTGTGGTTAGGCTGTGGTGGTGCAGTAGTCACATGGAAACTGATTTTAGAGGGGAGGGTATGATTGGGCCTGGGGTTTGAATATAGAGCTTTGGTGATAGGTGAAGGTGGGGTGCAGTGTTCCCATGTTCCAGGAGGCTCCCCTCTCTTCACTAATTCTAGAGATTATAGCAGCACTCGTGTCTGATGAAGGGAGTCACAGGCTTTGGTGTGTCATGTTTGGGATTAAATTTTGGTTTAACTGTTCAGACGCCATTTTCCTTTAAAATGAGAATGTATAGTAGGGTTGTTGAGGCAATTTATAAGCCTAGAAGAGAATGGTCTTTGAGGCAAATTGCCTGGATTTGATTCCCTGACCTGCTTTTTATCTGATATGTAACCTTAAATAAGTTAATCTCTGCCTCAGTTTCTCCTCTGTATCATGGAGGCAAGTGATAGCCCTCAGAAGGTTAATACTTGCAGAATACTTAGACTTGGACCAGGCACATAGTGCTCAAAAGGGGTTAATTTTGTATTTTGGTACATGAGAAATGTTACTCTTACCAGTTTGCTCTTCCTTTGGTGTGAAAGTAGAACTTTCTTGCCTTTTCTTGTCACTGAACCAGTGACATTCAAAAGCCACCATTTCTCTGGCCGTTAGACACAGTAGTTGGCCAATGGTTAATAGTTTTCAGTGTAGTTTACAGTTTGAGCACATGTTAATTCAGTTCAATTTACCCACTTGTGACTAATGAGTTCAGTTTTTCTTGGGCCACCTTTTCACTGCCGTTAAATGGTTCTCTTAATTTGTTAGCTACCTTTGTAGTTATTTTAAAACCCAGAAATCTCTTTGGTGTGCCTTCCTTATTATGGGAATATGACATTTTTGTCTTCCTGATAATAAAGTCTTAGCCAGTGAGATCAGATACAGTTGGTTAAAGAGGAGAATCCTGGAATGTATTACCATGTACTTTTTGTTTCACTTAAAATATTAGTGTGCATTCACTTTCCAGGCTGACTGTAGGGCCAGGACTATCACGTTATAAACAGGGAAAGTTGTGAAGGAGTGATTCTTGTTCAGCTTCATTGGGGGGGGGGGGGTGACTTGTCTTAACTTCTATAATTACAGTAACAACTACAACTGGAGTATACACATGAGAACAAATTGTTGGTGAAGATACATAATTTGTGTTGGTGGGTGCTAGCTGCTGTGGGGAGTCAGTATATTGTACAGAGGAGACCGCGTTATGCTCGTTTTGTTTAAAGCATTTCAGAACTATGAAGTGTAGAAAGTGAAGGGCCCTCGAATACAATCACTGGCCTTCTGTACTTTACTGTTAGCCGTTTGCTGTTACCTGTATGTTTTTATGTTTGTGTTCCTGTTTAATTTTAACAATATAAACCTGTCCACCTTTCATTTGGTTCTGCCATGTTGTGTATTCAGTTGAGTTGACTCCCCATTTTTAAAAGTAAACTGCCTGAGCTCTTGGCATAGTAGAAAAAGGACTCTTGGGAGTTTGGTGATCTGACTGGATTTTAGTCCTACCTCTCAGATAGTCTGGTGAGTTCTGAAACATGTTGGGGCCTAGAGCAAATGGGGAGACTTCCCTAACCAGATTAGAGTGGTCAGGGCCAGGAAAGCTTGCCTCCTGCCCTGGTTAGAAGCATGGGTTCCAAACAGATGTCACACTGGTGTCTGAAGTACATTTGTTTTGACATCCATTCACTTGCTACAAAGTGGTTACAGTCACCTGGGGGTTTGTTACTATTGGGCCTCAACCTCAGATCTACTGAATTAGAATCTGCCTTTTAACGAGATCCATGGGTGGTTTGTGTACACACACTAAAGCCTAGAAAGTACCCATAAACTAATGCCAAAATGGGGGGAAGACCCAATACCTAAGGAGATTTCTTTAATAAATTTAGCTTTGTGAAGTTCTTGCTGTGTGGTTGTTTTTCTCATTACTTCAGCTGCTCTCCATGAAAACTTAGATCAATGTTAGGTCACCCTCTGCCCCCATGTCACACTGGTTGTCTTCAGAATAAGGTGGTGTTCCAGCAGGCATCTGTCTGTATTCCAATACCAGGCCCAGAAATACTAGATGCTACTTTGCTGAGTGAATGTTCTAGTTCCACAACTATCGTCTACAACAGAATTCTCAGTCTGGGGCAATAATCTATCCCCATCCTGGGGTATTTGAAAATTTGTGTGGATGGCCCTTCAGTTACCACTTTAACTAGGGCTGCTATTCGTATTAGTGCCTATAGGTCAGGAGTGTCAAACATTCTACGATTCAGGATGACACAAGTAGTGAGTTGCTATGTAGATGGGTACAGGATGGTCACTCATATGTGAGCAGGTAACGTGATGGGGCCAGCCAGCTGTGCAAAGGCTTGGAGGTACCATTCTGATTGAGAAGCAGCAGGGAGACGAGAGAGCAAGGGTGGAAGTCCGGAGTAGATCCGATCAGGCTAGTGAGAGCCACATCAACCCACCATTGAAGGCCACAAGCTACCATTGCTGCTGCTGCTGTGAGATTTTTAAAGGAAATTGGGGCAGAAATGGGGAAACCGCTTAGGTTGTTCCAGAGTGCTTGGCATTTTCATCCATGTAGGATGGGCAAAGGGGAGAGATCAGAATCCAGATAAGAGTAGTTGGGTTCTTTTTAAAGATGGGATCACATTTTTTCAGGATAGTGTGTGTACATGGATAGGTTTCTATTTTGAGCTGGTCAGTATCAATCCACAGGGCTGTGTTTATGCCAAATAACTTAGAAATACATGATAATCCCAGGACTAAGGACAGTAGGTTCTCTTCCTCTATTGGAAACACTAGTTAGCAAACAGGGCTAATGTTCCCTTCTAGGCTTTTTTTTTTTTTTAATGAGAAACTAGATGTAATTTTAATTTGTGCTTTTATGTATATTTTCATGTCATTATGATGGCTTTATAATATGCTGTCTTTTAGATGTATAGCTGATATTGCCTTATCTATGCAGCCCACACTAAATATCCCGAGTGTTATAGTTCAGTAGGACTGCCCCATGCGCCCTACAGGCTCTTGTTTTGGCCCTCTGTATAGTATCTGTGAGGTCCTTGCATAGTATCTTCAAGTTATCTGATGGTGTGGTGTAGTTGAAAGAACACTAAGCTGGAGAGACGTCATCTGTGTTGTTTTCTGCTCTGCTTCTCCTGTTAGCATCGTGACCCAAAGACAAGTAACCAGGCAAATTGCAAGCCCTCTGGCCCTCTAGAGCAGACTGAACTGCTAGATTTTGTCTATGACTTTTTATTTTCTGATTTCGTGCTTTTGCCTTTTTGTGCAGTTTAACCACCTGCTAGTCCCAATCTGTTAAACTCCACATGTAGGTTGAGGTGCTCCAGGCAAATGGTGGGTAAAGGCCTCAGTGAGTAGGCTGCCAGTGGCTGAGTCCTAAAGGGTTAAGGCCCAGGCTTTCTAGGTGAGTGGCGAGGTCAGGGCCCAGGAACCACCCACAGATAGTTTAAGCTGCCAGTCACCAGGGACCTAACTGGTGCCTGGGGTACAGAACCACTTGCACAGCAGCTTGTTATGGAAACCACAGTGTGGTTGTCAGGGGGGAATCCATCGTAAGGCACCCGGGGGGCACTACCAGGAGGACAGAACTTTCACTCTGCTCAAGGTGCAGGAAGGCTTAGGAAACAGATGCAGAGGTTTGTGTTTTCACAAATCTGAACAAAAATGATGAGTTGTGATTATATCAGTTGAGGACCTTATATAACTTGATTTTAAGGTGTTACATAATTATATTTATCACTATTGATTTAATTTGCTTTTAGACAAATATGTCCACAGTTACCTGGTGTCTGAAAGTAGCATGATATGCCATTTTTTAGATGTATAGGTTATATTGCCTTATCTGCAGCCAGCACTAAATGTTGAAGGCAAAGGCATTCAACAATGCTGTTCTAGGCTCCCCTCAGTTACCCTGCTGAATGTACTTCTTTGATAGCAAGACTTTTAACCCTTTTAATACCATGGTGGCTGCCTCTGAAAGGGTTTTCCTACAGTGTATTTCGGTTTTTTGCTTTTCAAGATTTGTTCTGCTTAAACATGGTATATCATGGTGTATACGAGCACAGAATTTGATTTTAAGCATCTCAACTATTTTTTTTTTTTCGAAGATTTTAATTTTTAGAGGGAGCAAGCACAAGTGGGTGGAGGGGCAGGGGGAGAAGCAGACTCCCCCCTGGGATCATGACTTGAGCCGAAGGCAGACGCTTAACCGACTGAGCCACCCAGGTGCAGGTCTCTGATGGATAGCGTAGGCTTCTTTCCCATGAAGAGCTCCGCTAGCTGCCAGCCGGCCCCTCTTCCAACTCTACTGATAGCAGATAGCTACACAATGGTGGTTGCACCCAGTGTGGTCATCCAGGCAAACTCCAGGGGTGGGATATGCTTTCTTGGATGTTGGTCAGGATTCTTTTCTGACAGGCACCTATGAACTCTTTTCGTTTTCATGGCTCTGTGAGGTGCTACAATGATTAGGACCCAGAGAAAGGCACCGAGGAGGAAATGAATTTTCCAGTCACAGGAGTGGTGATGGAGCCATTCTTCAAAGGCAGGCAGATTCCAGCCTCTCCAGACCTATCTTTTTGTACAGGTTTATAGCTCTTAAGTAATAGGGCTAAACCACACATCTTCCCCTTGAAATACACTTCCGTCAGTTTTTCCCTGAAATTCAGTTGACCAACCTACAAAATGCTGTTTACCACTGTAGCTTATGCACCCCAATTCTCCAGAGAGGGTCAGCAATCAGAATTGGAGTTGGTCTTTACTTGTCAGCAGTTGACTAAAGGGCCAAACACCCAAGTAGCCACTGAATTATAACTAAAGAAAGACCGTTTTCGTCAAAATGGGAAGTGTGTGTATTTTGTAGCTGATGTGTAATGTCTCAGAAGACTGCATCTCCCTGTTCCCAGTGTCTGACCTCTGAGAGCAGCTGGTTGCTCAGATTGGACACACAGCAGGACTGCCACCTGCTACCTGGGTGAGACCGTGGGCAAATCAGCCAGCTTCTCTGGGCATCACGTCCCCCCTGCTTGTGTTCCCTCTCCCGCTGTCTCTCTCTCTCTGTCAAATAAATCTTAAAAAAATAAATAAATAAAAATAAATAAAATAGGTCAACAGCTGCCTTGCAGGGTTATTTTCAAGAATTAGAGGTAGTATATGTAAATCAGTTGACACATAGTAGGAGCTCTTGTCATATGTAAATATTATGCATTTATTGATTACACATTGTATGTGTTCTCTGGTAGGCTTAACTGTAAGTTTTATTCTGTGGCTTGAGTGCTACTCTTCTGAGACAAAAAAGATGAGGATGGGCATTATTCCCTATAACGTTACTGAGTAAGCTCAGATTCAGGGGATTGTTTGCTGGACTCCCCTTCTTTCAAGAAGTCCCTAAAATCTATGAAGAACTGGGCTTTGGAGAGCGCCTGGCCAGCTCAGATGGTAGAGTTTGTTACTCTTGATCCCAGGGCTATGGGTTCGAGCCCCATGTTAGATGTAGAGATTACTTAAAAAAGAAAAAAAAAAAAAAAAGAACCAGGCTTTGGGAGTGACAGCAACTTGGAGAGGGACCACTTATAGCTTCCTGTCTGCTCGGTTCAGGATTTCTGTCTCTTTCATTCAACATGTGCTTGAGTGCTTACCTATATAAAGCACGTCCTTGAACCAAACAGATACAGTCTGCTGCTAAGTGGACAAAAAGTACATGTCCCTCCTCCTCCCCCACCTTTTCAGGTAGAAAAAAAAATCCACTGCCCTGTTACAAATAGCAAAATAGGATTCCTGCCCAATATAACAGTAGAGTGATCTTAATTATGCTTTTCCGAATCATCCCTTACTGCCTCCACAAAAATGAGGGGTTGGATTTGTTCCTCCTGAGGGTATTCCATACCGCACCCTAGCCCCCAGTATTGAAAAGCACTGGATGAGTTGGGTCCTGGGGACAGGTTTGAGTTCACAGAGCACAGTAGTCCACATGTGGTCTAGGGCCATCTGCATCAGTTACCTGTTAAAAATGCAGATTCCTGAACTCAGAGACTTGAACTTAGTGGGGCTCAGAAATTCACATTCTTACTACAAAGAAGGTTAAGGTTCATTATTCTCTCAACAGCAGTGGCTTGCAAAGTTTTTTTTTAACCACGATCCACATTAAAAACTAAATGGGGTGCCTGGGTGGCTCAGATGGTTAAGCGTCTGCCTTTGGCTCAGGTCATGATCCCAGGGTCCTGGGATCGAGTCCCACATCGGGCTCCCGGCTCAGCGGGGAGCCTGCTTCTCCCTCTGACCCTCTCCCCTCTCATGCTGTTTCTCTCTCACTTGCTCTCTAAAAAATAAATAAAATCTTCAAAAAAAAAAAAAAACTAAAT